GATTATCCTCCAGATCTCTATGGTTCTCAGGGAGAACGTTGGGAATCCCAGGAAATACTCAGACTTTGGGGAAATGTTATTCTAGGATGCACCACGTAGAGGAGTCCTCCAGCGTTTCATAAATTTTGGGAGGGAGGAGCTCATAACGCACAAGAGAGGGAGGGAGAGATCACACGAATCTTGATTAGATGTCAGTCTGTTTCCACCTCACTCCTTTTTGAGTTGCAGAATGCCGTCAACACAGTTCCGGGACAATTGGCTGATAGCTTTGTCATTTGGGATATTTCATCTGTGAAAATGGGGAGGGAAGACGTTTTATATGCCAAAGCTTAAATCTAAACGTCTATTTGGAAGGCTGAAATGTTTCTATATAACAGCGTAGAAAATCTTAAATATAACGAAGAGACGGTATATTCCATTAGCGTATAATTCCACGAAGAACAGCTGCCAGAAGAGGGAAGCTGTTCCATGGAGAATAGAAACAATCCAGCATCGATCTGAGTCGGGGGTCTTCAAACTTGGCTCTTTTATGACTGGTGGACTTCAACTCCCAGAATTCCTCAGCCAGTGTGCCTGGCTGAGGAATTCTGGGAGTTGAAGTTCACCAGTCATAAAAGGGCCAAGTTTGAGGGCCTCTGATCTGAGTGATCCAAATTCACTCATATTAATCTAAGCAGGCTAGTTACTTCTAAGATGATACAGGGGATGAGACTCCACCCCACCCCAGTAGCCATTTTACCTTTACAGTTTTTCCTTGGTTATTTGGTCTATTTCAATGTTTGTGAACCTCGGCAACTTTAAGAAGTGTGGACTTCAACTCCCAGAATTCCCAAGGTCAGCTGGGGGATGCTGGGAGTTGAAGTCCACACCTCTTAAAGTTGCCGAGGTTCAGAAACGCTGGTTTATTTTGTTCAATTGATACGATCACCTCCCTTTCCCAAAGTGACTCTGAGTGGCTCATAGTGTTAAAAAAAAAACACAATAACGCACACGCACAAAAAATTAAAAAATCTAGGAAAAGAAAACATGACAGAACGAAACAAATCGAAACTTCTGTAGCACCAGGAGCAAACTTCACCAGAAGCATATCCTGTCAGATCCAGGGCCATCCTGCTCAGTATGTGAGGGAAGAACCAGGTTTTCAGTGTCTTTCTAAAAGCTGGCAGGGCTGGGATCACGTGGTTCTCAAAATGAAGACGTTGATCTGGGAAAATGTTCTTCCATAGAAGAGCCTCTTTGAAGAAGAAAAGCCAGCTAGAACTTTGAGGAACGTTTGTTCTTCATCCTGTAGTTGTTGGGGAGATCCTTAGTTTGAGGCACTGCCGAACCCTCAGCTGGGTCTCCATAATCTGGTCATAATCTGGTCATAATCTGTCCCAACTCGGATTCTCAATCCATCAACTCCTCTCACTTTGTACTATTCCTGCCAGCGATTTAGAGTAGTGTTAACTCACCCTTGCCTCTTTTAACGTGGGTGGACTTCAACTCCCAGAATTCCCTTGCCAGCGCGGTTGACTGGGGAATCCTGGGAACTGAAGTCCGCCCATCTTAAAAGTCGCTAAGCTTGAGGAACACTGATTTAGAGAGAAAGCTCCCAGCTGGCCTTTGCCTTTCTCCATCTTTCTGTTCATAGCCTGCTAGATGTAATCCACGTTTCTCTCTTTTCCCCTCCCCCCCCATGCATATATATTAAAATAAAAGCTTGCAGTCTGATTCTAGTCTGTTCTGAGTAATTGTCACCCCTCTTTAGAGAAGTCATTCCCCTTTTATTTGCTGGAAATAAATCTGGGCAGGCAGTACACCTTCTGAAAAAAAAAATTCCTTTTATTCCTGGTGGGGATTCACGTGAGGGTGTGAAAAGAGGCGGCACAATTTACCAGGGTGAAATCCAAAAAGCAGGAAATTCTTGAATTTGTGTTCTGCTCCCAAAGTTACTGCAGGCCCCTTTTGAAGTCTTGAAAAGACAATGTGAATGTAAAGATGCCTTTATTGGGGTTGGGATGAATAAAGTTCTCTATGTTAAATAATCGTGCCTTTTTTTTTTCCCCCACTTGTTAATCACTTGTTAATCCCACTTGTTAAACAACCTGCTTCCAGAAGCGGTGAATGCTCCAACACTGGAAGTTTTTAAGAAGAAACTGGACAGCCATTTGTCCGAAATGGTATAGGGTTTCCTGCCTGAGCAGGGGGTTGGACTAGATGACCTCCAAGGTCCCTTCCAACTTTACTATTATTATTATTATNTTGGCGATCCTGTTTTTATCAGCAGCCGCACGAAAAAGTGCTGCTGAGTTTTGTCCAAACCAGTCCCTTAGATTTTGAAGCCATGATGTTCTTCTTCTGCCTGGACCTCGTTTGCCTTCCATCTTTCCCTGGAGGATTAAATGGAGTATGCCGTATTTTTCTGGGTGTCGCATCACATGTCCGAAATATTCTAATTTTCGTTTTTTAATTGTTTTGATGATTTCCCTTGGCTTTCCCAGGCGGCTTATCACCTCATTTCTGATCTTGTCAACCCAGCTTATACGTAACAGCTGCCTGTAAATCCATATTTCAAATGCTTCTAGTCTCTTCAGGTGGCCTTCTGTTAGAGACCAACTCTCTACTCCACAGAGCAGGATAGAAAAAATATAGCATCTGACAAACCTGATTTTCAGTCTTAGGCTTATGTCGTGACTGCAGAAATCAAACAGTAAACGAAAAAAGATCTTGTCCATAGATCTCTCTCTCTCCAGCTCACTTGTGGGAAGCCAGCCATTGTCCAAGTGCATTGTGGGAATCGGGCCATTACCTTAAATCAGTGTTTTTCAACCTTGGTAAATTTAAGTTACGTGGACTTCAACTCCAGGAACTCCCCAACCAGCCATGTTGGCTGGGGAATTCTGGGAGTTGAAGTCCACATATCTTAAAATGGCCATAGTTGAGAAACGCTGCCTTAAACAATCTTAAAATTGTTTAAGCGCAGCATATTATGTGAACACAAGTGGTTTGTAATCGAAGATCCTAGGATTAAGTGTAAGGTCTGAATTTAGCCATTGGGAAAGCTGACAGGGGAAGGATAAGGAACACCGTGAGTATCTCAAACATTGCCATTTTGCAGAGTGGTCTGCAACAAAATTTTGCAGTGTAGCAGTTCAAAACTTCACCCAAGCTTAAGTTCGTCTGCATCAAAGGAGGTCTCTCGAGCTACAGCTTTGCTCTGACAAATACGGGGATGCCGAGTTCGAAATCTACTTACGATATCCAAGCTACAGTTCGATTTGGCAAAACCGTGGCAAAAAACCAGTTGTGAAATCAAGCATGACTCCTTTAATAACCACCCAGCTTAGCAATGGAAATTGGGGTCCCGGTTGTGATCGTAAGTCGAGGACTCCCTGCAGCTCTCTTTCTGGATCACAAAAATCTTGTTTTGCTAATGTCTAGTCGTCTAGTTCAGAGGTCCCCAACCTTTTGGGCACCAGGGACCGGTGCCGTGGAGAAAGGTTTTTCCATGGATCAGAAGGGGTGTGGTTTTGTGTACTGCCTGCATCCCGTGGATGGGGCTTTGCTTGTTTGTGCAGCCCGGTTGCTGGCATGCTATGGACTGTTGCCGATCCACGGACCAGGAGTTGGGGACCCCTAGTCTAGTTTGATGAAAGGAAGGATGTTGAGACTCTAGAAAGAGTATAGAGAAGAGCAACAAAGATGATTAGGGGACTGGAGGCTGAAACATATAAGGAACAGTTGTTGGAATTGGGTATGTCTAGTTTAATGAAGAGAAGGATGAGGGGGGACATGATAGCAGTCTTCCAATATCTCAGGGGCTGCCCCAAAGAAGAAGAGGGTGAAACTATTCTCCAAAGCACCTGAAGGCAGGACAAGAAGCAACAGATGGAAACTAATCAAGGAAAGAAGCAACCTAGAACTAAGGAGAAACTTCCTAACGTTTGGAACAATTAACCAGTGGAACAACCTGCCTCCAGAAGTTATGAATGCTCCAGCACTGGAGGTTTTCAAGAGACTGGACAGTCATTTGTCTGAAATGATACAGGTAGTCCTCAACGTACGACCGCAATTGAGCCCAGAATTCCTGTTGCTAAGTGAGACATTAGCTAAGTGAGTTTTGCCCCATTTTAAGAACTTTCCTGCCACAGTTGTTAAGTGAATCACTGCAGTGGTTAAGTTAGTAACCCGGTTGTTAAGTGAATCTGGCTTCCTCATTTGACTTTGCCGGTTCAGAAGGTCGCCAAAGGTAAATCGCATGACCCCAGAACACTGCAATCGTCATAAATATGAGTCAGTTGCCAAAAGTCTGAATTTTGATCGTGTGACCAGGGGGGAATGCTGCAGTGGTCGTTAAGTGTGACAAACAGTCCCTTTTTTTAGTGTTGTCGTAACTTTGAAGGATCATTAAACAAATTGTTGTAATTCAAGGACTAACTGTGTAGGTCAGGGGTAGGCAACCTTGGCTCTTTTATGACTCGTGGACTTCAACTCCCAGAATTCCTGAGCCAGCATGGCTCAGCTTGGAAACTTCTTCCTTTCCCCTCAGCATGGCCGGCTCAGGAATTCTGGGAGTTGAAGTCCGCGAGTCATGAAGGGGCCATAGTTTCCCCCATGCTGGCTCAGGAATTCTGGGAGTTGAAGTCCACGAGTCATAAAAGAGCCCAGATTGCCTACCCCTGGTATAGGGTTCCCTGCTTGAGCAGGGGGTTGGACTAGAAGACCTCAAAGGTCCCTTTCAACTCTTTTATTCCATAATTATTGGCCGAAACAAAAGAAGAGGACAGGACACATTTTTGTCTGCTTCACCTTCCAGCCAACCTTGCGCCCTCCTCTTCAAAACCACATGCCCCCCCCCCACCGAAAATCTTTCCAGCCAAGGCACAATTTCGGTCTTCCCACAGGAAAACCAAGAAAATGCACAATTATTGGGAATCCTCTGCTAAGCCTTCTTCCGCTGCTCCCTTGGCATTCCCAGCAGCACCACAGCTTCCTTTTTTCTGCAACTGTAGATTTTTTTAGTCGCAACTGAAGCGGGTTTTTCGGTGTCGGATGAGTTGCAGGCTCTGGTTGAAGCTTTTCCCGCAATCGGAGCATTTGTACGGCTTTTCTCCCGTGTGGATCCGCTGATGCCGGATGAGGTTCGTGGCCTGGTTGAAGCGCTCCCCGCAGTACGAGCAGCCGTACGGCTTCTCCCCCGTGTGAGTCCGCCAGTGACGTTTCAGGTTTGAGTTGTAGCTGAAAGTCTTCCCACAGACGTTGCAAATCTTACGGCTTTTTGCCTTCCGGGTCCTCGGAGGCTCCGGAAGGTGAGCGTACCCAGGTCCCTGAGCGGCCGATCGGTCCTGCTGGCTGTCAGTAAATTCGGCCTCCAAGCGAATCTGTCGGTCCTGATTTGCAAAGGCAGCCATTAACTCCTCAGGAGCGGCTCTCGTCCAGGATTTCCTGCTCCATGTGCCCACAGCTTCTGGAGAGAAAGAAATAAAATAAAATCCAGAAATGTTCACACAAGACAATAGCTACTGAACTGTAAACCGGAGGGACAAACTGGGGTGAGCAAACTCTTTAGGACCAGCAACTAAATTTAACAGAAGAACAGAATTGGAAGGGACCTTGGAGGTCTTCTAGTCCAACCCCCTGGTCAAGCAGGAGACACTATCCCAGGGGTAGGCCACCTTGGCTCTTTTATGACTCGTGGACTTCAACTCCCAGAATTCCTGAGCCAGCCATGCTGAGGGGAAAGGGAGAGGTTTCCAAGCTGAGCCATGCTGGCTCAGGAATTCTGGGAGTTGAAGTCCACGAGTCATAAAAGAGCCAAGGTTGCCTACCCTGGACTCTAAGCAGACCAAAAATTGCCCAGAGATCTATTTCTAAATCTTGATCACCTTTGGCCTATCTTTTTTTCCTATTCCAGGGGTAGGCAACCTTGGCTCTTTTATGACTCGTGGACTTCAACTCCCAGAATTCCTGAGCCAGCCATGCTGAGGGGAAAGGGAGAGGTTTCCATGCTGAGACATGCTGGCTCAGGAATTCTGGGAGTTGAAGTCCACGAGTCATAAAAGAGCCAAGGTTGCCTACCCCTGTACTATCCCATGTTAAAAACCTCCAGTGTAGGAGCACCCACAAGTTCTGGATTGTTTAATATTTAATGATTTAACATTTAATCTAGTACTTCATATTAAACGTTTAATTAAAATTCTAATTAAATTTTTAATTAAAGTTCAATGCTAATATTTAAATAATTTAATATCTAATTTGATATTTTAGGACAGGGCAAGGAGTGGTGGGGCTGTGTCCTACAAGTGGCTTTTTTCTTTTCTTTCCTTTTTTGTTAAGAGTGGAAATTCCTGTCCCAATTGTAGTTGTTAAGTTGAGGACAACCTATAGATCTGAAATTTGGCCTACCATTTCCTGTGGCCTGCCATCCCTGACCTCCACGTTTCCTGGAGCTCCCAAGCAAGGCCCAAAGAGAGTCTCCCGGTTAAAAGAAACTGCACACCCCAGTTCAGAAGTGCGTAAGCTCTAAGTCAGGGTTTCTCAACCTTGACAATTTTAAGGCATGTGGACTTCAACTCCCAGAATTCCACAGCCAGCATTGCTGGCTGTGGAATTCTGGGAGTTGAAGTCCACATGCCTTAAAATTGTCAAGGTTGAGAAACACTGCTCAAGTCCTGCAAGCCATCACTTCAGCTGCTGGGGTTTTACCCTCCCAGCAGTCTGCAAGTCTTTATCCCTGGAAGGAAGAGGACAAGAGTGCTTCTGCTCATCTTTTTCTTTTTTCTTTTTTGAAAAATGAGTTACAAAATAGATGCATGGAGCTTCTGCTAGGCCAGGGGTAGGCAACCTTGGCTCTTTTATGACTCGTGGACTTCAACTCCCAGAATTCCTGAGCCAGCCATGCTGAGGGGAAAGGGAGAGGTTTCCATGCTTAGCCATGCTGGCTCAGGAATTCTGGGAGTTGAAGTCCACAAGTCATAAAAGAGCCAAGGTTGCCTACCCCTGTGCTAGGCTGATCATAAATTATTTTTGCTTTAAAAGTCCCACCTCTAAAAGAGCCAAAATTCTAGCCCATCTCCTCTTTATAGAAGAACACAGTTGGAAGGGACCGTGTAGGTCATCTAATCCAACTCCCCTACTCAGCCAGGAAACCCTATACCATTTCTGACAAGTGGCTGTCCAGTCTATTCTTGAAAGCCTCCAGTGATGAAGTACCCACAAAGGCAGGCTGTTCCACTGGTTGATTGCTCTCACTGTCAGAAAATTTCTCCTTATTTCCAGGTTGAATCTCTCCTTGATCAGTTTCCATCTGTTATTCCTTGTCTGGCCTTCAGGCGCTTTGGAAAATAGGTTGATCCCCTCCTCTCTGTGACAGCCCCTCAAATATTGGAACACTGCTATCATGTCACCCCAGGCCTTTCTCTTCATTAAACCAGACATGCCCAATTCCTGCAACTGTTCTTATTAAGTTTTAGCTTCCAGGCCCCTAATCATGTTCAGTCAGGCTACATATCAGGCTTCAATTCTGCACACAACTGTCTTAGGCCTCTGACAGCCTCCTTCCCAAGAAATTTTAATAATAATAATGATGATGATGATGATGATGATGGAAGGGACCTTGGAGGTCATCTAGTCCAACCCCCTGCTCAGGGGGGGTTTAAGTCTCTTCTTAAAAACTTCCAGTGTTGGAGCATTCACTGCTTCTGGAGGCAGGTTGTTTCACTGGTTAATTATTCTAACTGTGAGGAAGTTTCTCCTTAGTTCTAGGTTGCTTTTCTCCTTGATTAGTTTCCATCTGTTGCTTCTTGTCCTGCCTTCAGGCACTTCGGAGAATAGCTTGACTCCCTCTTCTTTGTGGCAACCCCTGAGATAATGGAACACTGATATCATGTCCCCCCTCGTCCTTCTCTTCATTAAACTAGACATACCCAATTCCAGCAACCGTTCCTCATATGTTTTAGCCTCCAGTCTCCTAATCATCTTTGCTCTTCTCTGTACTCTTTCTAGAGTCTCAACATCTTTTTTACATCGTGGTGACAAAAACTGAATGCAGTATTCCAATTGTGGCCCTACCAAGGCATTGTAAAGTGGTATTAACACTTCATATGATCTTGATTCTATCCCTCTGTTAATGCAGCCTAATACTGTGTTGGCTTTTTTGGCAGCTGCAGCACACTGCTGGCTCATAGCCAAGTGACTGTCCACTAGGACTCCAAGGTCCCTCTCACAGTTACTGTTTTTAAGCCAGGTCTCGCCCAGTCTGTACTTGTAGCTTTGATTTTTCCTACCTAAATGTAAAACTTTGCTTTTCTCCACATTGAAACTCATTTTGTTGAATAGGGCCCATTGTTCAAGTTCGTCAAGATCTTTTTGGATCCTGAGTTTATCTTCTGGGGTGTTGGCTACTCCTGTCAGTTTGGTGTCATCTGCAAATTTGATGAGTTCCCCTTCAATTCCCTCATGTAAGTCATTTATGAAGATATTGAAGAGTACTGGGCCTAAGATGGAACCTAGTGGTACCCCACTGCTTACTTCTCTCCATGTGGATGTAGTGCCATTGAGTGCTACTCGTTTAGTACGGTTTGCCAGCCAGCTACACATCGATCTGGTGGTGATGTTGTCTATTCCACCTTTTTTTTAGCTTACCAAGGAGTAGGTTGTGGTCTACCTTATCATTTGCCTTACTAAAATCTAAGTATACTACGTCCACAGCATTTCGCTGGTCTACTAGTTTACTCACTTTATCGAAGAATGAAATAAGATTGGTTTGGCATGATCCGTTTTTGATAAACCCGTGCTGGCTACTAGTTATAACTTTGTTTGCTTCTAGTTGTTCGCAGATCTGTTTTTTGATCATCTTTTCCCGAATCTTCTCGGGTAAAATAAATTATTGCCTTGAGCTCCTTGAAGAAAAGGAGGCGAACAGGCTCAGCGGTTAAGACGCTGGGCTTGTCGGCTAGAAAACCAACAGCCCAGGTTCAAGAGCTGAGCGCTACGCAATGGGGTGAGCCCCTGTCCTCACCCCAGCGCCTGCCCACCTACCATTTTGAAAGCATACAAATGCGAGTAGACAAATAGGTACCACTTCAGTGGGAAGGTAACAGCTCTCCATGACATCATGCTGGCCACATGGCCATGGAAATGTCTTCGGACAGCGCTGGCTCAACGGCCTCAAAATGAAGATAAGCACTGCCCCTTATCGCCAGCTAGACTAGCCGAATAAAATCTGCAGGGACTCCCTTTTTTTCGCCTTGAAGAAAAGACTCTGTGTGCCTGTGCATTAAGTCACTAGCAAAAGGGAAGGCAAGGACGGCAAATGTGCAGATTTTACCCAGAGGATCAGGAATGTCTCTTTTTCTTTCTGCTTCAGCCTCCCTGACTGGGCTCCTGTGAGGTTTTCTGGAAGATTCCTCCTCCCCAACTGGGAAATTCACCGTCACCACTTGGAACAGGACCTGAAAAAGAAGAGGCTTGCCTGAGTCAATGAAGGGCAGGATTTCTGCCTGTACAGGGGGTCCACGTAGGGAAGAGGGCAGTCATGGTATTTGATGGAAGCCCCACCTCTTTGGGGCGGGGCTTCCACTGCACCACTGCGACGGCCATCTTGCGGATTTCAACCTCTCTCGTGGACACCCCTGTACAGACCAACACGAGAGGGGAGACTTTCTCCTCCTCTCATAATGTCGGAATTTGCAGTTGCTAGGGAGGGAGATTCACCACCATTTCAAGAAAGGCCTGGTTTACAGAAATGGCCGCCAAACACATTTCGCCTTACAAGCCACACCCGGCCCCAAAATGTCCCCTGCTAAGCAAGACAGTTGTTGCACGCGTTTCATCCCATTTTACGACCCTTCTTGCCGCAGTTGTTAAGCAAATCCACTGCTGTTGCTAAATTAGTAACGCAGTTGTTAAGTGAATCCAGCTTCCGTAATTTGACTTTGCTTCTCCGAAGGTCGCAAAAGGGGACAGTGCAACCGTCGTAAATACGAACCAGTGGCCAAACATCCAAATTTTGATCACGTGACCACGGGGATGCTGCAACGGTCGTTAAGTGTGAACAATGGTCATAAGTCACTCTTAACAGTGCCCTGTAACTTCAAACGGTCACTAAACGAACGGCTGTAAGTCGGGGACTACCTGTACATCTTTCTTACTCGTTACCGGCCTCTCCCCCCCCCCCGGTTTACTGCGACAGACGTTCGGCTCTTACCGTCCGCGTCTGCCTCTGGTTTTCCTGCTGCTTCAGCACAAAATCCTCGGCCAGGGCGACCGCCTGG